GAGCTTGAAAATTCTACAGAAAGTCGTAGGATGACGCTACACTTACATGGAGTAAACCGACATTTTAGTAGACTCAATCGCATATACTAATGATTTCTGAGATATGACTACTAACTTTTGATTTAATCCACACAATTGTTGCAGTACCAGGGGGATATTCACTAAAGAAAGCACAATTTGAGTTCACAACTGCAACCTTTTTTTATTAAGACATTATACAACTTTTCAGTAAAATCAGACGTTTTGATTGGTTGGCTTTCGTGTGTTATCAAAGTATAGATACACGGATTGCGTCAAAACTAATTGTTTGTTGTATAAAACAGATAGATATCATTTTTCCGTGCGTGTGTACTCTAATAGATACACAGATGACGTCAAAATGTAGTGAGAACAACAGTCACGCACTCGACTGCGTCTCGTRCGTACTTTTTTGTTCTCACTACATTTTGACGTCATCTGTGTATCTATTAGAGTACACACGCACGGAAAAATGAGATCTATTTGTTAATTCAAATATATAAAAAAGGTTTATGGTTACAAGTTATAAATAATATGTTATTATTTCATTAAGTAACAAAAAAAAAACAACAGAATTTGAGATGGCCGAAAACAATCACAAGAGATGAAGACTTGTAATGATATTACAATTTACCAAAAAAAATCTAGTCAATTATTAATGGATGGAAGTTTAAATGGAATGCTAAAAAATCTCTTGTTTTTTTCTAGTTTTAATTATGGTTTTGTAATTGGAAGTATAGATGTTTGATTTCTAGCTTGAACAGTTCTTTAAATGTAGATAATGCTCTTTCGTGCACCCTCACTTTACCTTGTACTTGATTTCATACCAATGGGTAACCTGTTTGAGACTTCTGATAGTAAAGTCTCACMAATACTGTTAAACCTCTCCTTTAAGACTTCAGCAGAGATTTGGATTGTCTTGTCACATTTCACGTTAGCAACTAATGCTTCAAAGATGTAGTCCTCCATCCTTGTCCAGCATCCTAAAGTTGGAATATGATTACTCGCAACCATGAAAGCAACACCTTTTTTTTCCAGAGTCAAGGATAGTTTGAGCATTATGGTGGATTCTTTGTCTCTTTGACGTTTTCTTTGCTAATTCAGCAGGCTTTGAACCATAGGGATTTTCACAACCTTGGCATTCGCAGTGCTGAGTAGACTTCCCCTTAGCAAAACAAGAACAGCGACTAGGGTATTTCTGCCCTGGTTTAGTYACACATTTTCCACCAACATTTTTACGCGACCTTCCGCAATGACAGCTTATCAATTCGTTCATGATTCCTCCTTCATCTGTTTCATCCGTTTCATGTTCGGTTATAGTGTTACTTGACGACTTCTCACTCCATACTACAGGAATGAATAATCCCACATCACAATAGTAAAAGTGGAATATGGAAGAGCCTGGGACTCTTTCTTTGGGGAACACAGGAATCATGGAAAAATTTTCTGAATTGTAAACTATGTTGAAAATTGCTCCAGTTAAATTTGACAGACTTTGGATAACGTGGACATCATTATGGCTTTCAAAAGTTTTCCACTATGTTTGACATCTGTTCCTTTGCAACCAACAAAGTGTTCTCTTTATCAAGTGRAAGTTGCTTTCTTAAGTAGTCTGCATAGTCGTCGTTAATTTAGTTATTGGCATGATAAGCAATGCGTTCAGCTAAGGCTTCTGCGAAATGGCTTTTCTTGGTATAGACCCATTGCACTGACGTCACACTTTAGTTAGCAACCGTTGCTATGCTGCTCCTGATGGTCAAGCGCGCATGTTTACATAGCGTGCACAGTCAAAATCACGCAATATTATGCCCAACAAATCAGCTGAAAAGGGATTTTTACCTGGCTGCTCTTTATTGATAAGTGACAAACAATCAAAAGAAAGATATCTTAAAAAGCTAGAGCAGTTTGACGGCCTAGATCCGTACGAAATTCCAAGAAAAGAATGGCAAGACGACGTCGAGCTATGGCCGTCTATGTCGTACATCAATGTCGGCATGTATCTACTGTTTTCAAAGAGCCCCTACACTGAAGAAAAATTACAAAACTATAAAAGTTTGACATGTTATCAGAACTTTATAAATGGATGGGTTCGCGAGATTTTTGTAAAAGATTTCGCCGAAAGAAGACTGCTAATCGCCAAGGTACGTTGTGTGCTTGTATCTCTATCTTGCCGATAATCAGTTTCTTGTATTATAATTCTTGTATCATCTGAATCTACTTTATTTAATCTATTTTCATGTACTTTGATAGGTAAACCATTCCCAGAGAATGAGTGAAAAGCCATTAACTCCGTGGGTACTTATTCACAAGGATGGAAAAGTGATCGCTGCACACTGCGACTGCATGGCCGGCCTTGGAGAAAGCTGTTCGCATATTGCTTCTTTACTTTGGGCAATCGAGGCTGGAGTTAAAAAAAGAGATTCATTAACAGTGACTGATAAAAAGGCCTACTGGGTGCTTCCTTCTGCCATAAAAAAAGTTCCCTATGCAAAGATAAGCGACATCGTTTTCAGCAAATATGGAGGGGAAGCCAAAAGAGCAAGAACCGAGTCGAAAGTTCCAAAGTCAACTGAAATTGAAATAATACAGTTCTTATCGAGTGTCAAACAGTGTTGTAGTTCAAAACCTGCAATAATGTCTCTAATCAAAGATTTCTCTGACGAATTTGTTCCATCATCTTTAGACGAAGATCTTCCACCTGTTTTATCTAATTATTTTGACAAGGAACTGTTAAACTCAGACTGTGACACTGTGATGTCTGTGTGTGAACAGAAACTGCCCATTTACAATATAAATGCAAAACAGCAATTAACTGTTGAAGAGAAGACAAGAAAACAAGCAAGTTCAAGATTATGGTTTAGAATGCGAGCTGGTAGAGTCACTGCTAGTAAATTCAAAGCTGCATGTTGTACAAATGCCCTAAAACCATCACATAGTCTGATTATGAGCATCTGTCACCCAGAGCTTGTAAAGTTTAGCAATCAAGCTACAAAGTGGGGTTGCAGTCATGAGGTAACTGCAAAAGAAGTTTATTATCAAGTTCAAAAATCAAGACATCAAGAACTGAAGGTTGAAGAATCTGGTTTCTTTATCAGTACTGAACATGGGTTCCTAGGAGCAACACCAGATGGATTGGTTTCTTGTAAATGCTGTGGAAAGGGTGTGTTTGAAATTAAGGTACAACTTAAAATTGAATTTATGATTGTGTAGCATGCATATCATGTTTTTCCGTGTAATGATATAGAACTTATGACAATATTTCATTCTAACATTTGTTGCATTTATATTTCAGTGTCCCTTTTGCCAAAAGGACAAAGATATAGCCCRGTGTACTGATGAAAAGAACTTCTGCCTTGAAACTACCCCAGAAGGCACACCTCAGCTCAAACGTAATCATGCCTACTTTTACCAGGTATCTACTTGAGCGAAGCTTGCTATTTCAGTTGTTAACACTTATAATAAAGGGCACATGCAATCTTTGTTAATAAAAACAGTAAGATTTATTTTCAACCCATTTGTTTGACCAGCACTAGTATCTTTGTTGTAAGAAATTGGCAAACATGTATTAATTAACAGCTATGAGTATAAGGCTCAATTTCGTTTCTTGTCATTTACAGGTACAAGCTCAATTGTTTTGCACTGGGCGCACTTATGCTGACTTTGTACTATGGACTGAGAGAAGCGTACACGTTGAGCGGATCACACCTGACCAAACATTTATGGAGACAAATGTAGCCAAAGTGGAACAGTTTGTGATTAAGGGTCTTCTACCAGAAATTCTAGCTACATGGTACTCTAGACCAACTGTTGCAGATCATTTTAAAGGGGACAATGGTTCAAGGCAGGATTAAGCTTGACACACTTGTCTGGATTTCACTTTCTATTTATTGTATTTTTATTGTATTTTTATTGTATTTCTATTTATTGTATTTTTATTTATTCAATCATAACTTAATCAAAATCAATAAAATCTTTCATATTTTTGAAAATAAATTTTAATGAAAAATATTATACCAATATGATTGTACATTATTCATTCAGAATTGTTTTAGTTGGTTGTATTTTTTACCATTGATAATTAATTATTACAAAACTATCTTATGATAAATAAATAAATTAACATTCAATTGTTATGCTGGTACTCAATTTTTATGATTGATTTTCAAATGACCAAATAATCAGCAACAATAATTTAGAGTCGTTTGCAAAAACCTGTTAAATACACTTTAATGTAATACACTTTAGCTCTATTGTTTTATATTCTCTGTACATGACTATTACGATCTATTACACCTTAACTATTACTCTTTGTTTCATGGTTTTTTGCAAACAACTCTACATTTGTTTTTGATTGCTTCTACAAAGTAATAAGCAATTATTTTATCTTTTTGGGGTTCAATGGTATAAAAAGTGAAGTTAATGTCGATTTTTAAAGTCATTCAAAAGGTACAACAGAGTCACAAAGGTTGGTGAGAGCACAGCCTACAGTAACAATCTTATCTAATGTGGCCTTCTCACCATTTCTAGCTACAGCAAAGTCAATAGGTTGGGTGGCGCTTAAGATCCCATACTTCTTGCGGATGTTGCCAATCACTCTCTCTACATGTATCCGTACATTAGCAATCCTCCGTGTTTGTTCCACTTCAATTCCGCTCAACTGTTTCTTCCCTTTAGTGAAAGCAGGTATCTTTATTCTTGCACAGTATAGACCAACAGATTCCTGTATGTCAAACCCTCTGTCTGCAAGGATTACATCTCCAGGAAGTAAGTGATCAAGCAGTCCACTTTCTTCTGTTAAATGTTTATCGCTTACTCTTCCCCCCCAGCCATCGGAAATGAAACTGACACTGCCTTGCGGTGTAATACCAATGAGGTACTTAACTGTATTATGGTGTTTGTAAGTTGAATATGTCTGCGCACGGGCAAGTGGATTTGTTGCCCTGTCTAAGAAGATCTCAAAGCAGTCAATAATAACCACACAACTAGGGCAATGTTTGCGAAAATCCATAGGGAGGGTTTTCAGTAGTGATTCTCTTTCTGGCCAATAAATCAAAGGGCTGAGTCTTTGATAGAGTACATCAATGACCTGCAGAAATGTCCTTGAAACAGTAGTTTCATGAATTCCTCCAAATCTGTAGGCAAGATCTTTACCAGATAAGTTCAGTCTCATTCTTATTAGTGTCAAGAGGAACCTTTTGAAGGGGCTTAATGTGCATCTGCTTGACTGTGACATGTATGGCAAAATATAATTGAAAAGACAGTAAAGTAAGTTCCAACTCGGTAGTCCAGTGTAAAATAACACTTTTTCGTCTTTATCACGTAGCCCATCCTCATCCAGACACACCTGTTTCAGCTCTCGTTTTAGTTGTGAATTCTCTTCCCTCAAAAACTTCAGTTCAACTTCCAATGATTTTATGTCATCTGCGTTCATGTCTGTTTGAGTACCGATTTCACAACATTGAATAGCATTTGTAATGGTTTCTGTAGACGTTGTACATKTAGTTGTGCGACTTAGAGCTAAGCACAGTACTTCATTGTCATCACAGCTGACTTGAGTTTCGATGTCTTGTACTGGTTCACAAGAATGTTGAAGTTGAATAAGAGCCTCAGCACTAGCCGTTCGTCTTCTTTTTTCTTCTATAACATTATACCTTTCTTTTCTCTTTCTATCAGGCTTTTTGACAGAATTGTGGCCAAGTTTAATACTTGGCGCCCAGTCTTCCGAGTCACTGTCTTGTATTGATGATGGTTGACCTACAAACATAAACATAACACACACTTGTTTAGCGAACGAAGAATTTCGAYTTAGAGGTTCAAATTAATCTAAGTTGCTATTAATAAACTTTTTATAAATCAAAATCCTAAAGTAATGCTTATAAAATGACTAAATTGCTTTTTACCTGATACAAAGTGGTCACTACAAACACGAGCGTTCGCAAATTTGTCTGGCGTGAGGTCTTCGCGTTTGATTCGTTTTAACCACTCTTTTCTTCGTTTTTCTTGAAGCATTTTGATTTTCTGGCCCACATTACCTTTAGTAGCAGGTAATCTGAAAAATCTCTTGTCTTTGTTTCTATTTGAACGGTTAGAACAGCCAAAAACGGCACAAAAGTTAACCATCACGAGCGCCTTCCCGTATGATTCGCTTTGAAAGTTCGCGCTCGCTTGTCCTCCAAATGAAGGTGTCACGTGATCTGAAATCATTCGTGACGTCATGTGCAAGGGGTCTATTAAGATTTAGGTATGTAAGGTGATATTGTTGGAGGAAATCAGACGTATTATTCTCTGACACTCCATGATACCCATTAGCTACTTCCGTGTCTAGAACAACCGACAATGCTGTTGYTTGATAAGCAATAAATGTTTTATCAATAACAATGCACTTTGGATACAATATTTTCAATTGTTCCTCGTAAAACAGCATGCTGTTTGCTTTGGAGCACACATCTTTCATTGTAGAGTCTACAGTACTTGCCGACTGTATAGCAACTGTGGCGGACTCGCAGTCAATAGGATTCGTACACCAAGATGAATTTATTTGGACATCCTCTGAAACAAATACAAAAAGTACTCTCAACATCAGGACAGTGACCTATACTGTGTAAATACACCAGCTTAAAGTCTTGCATAAATCATGTTTTTTTTAGTTTATCCAATAATCATTCACTTTCAAAAATTAACATTTGGCCTAGCCTTTTGTTGAATCCSTTCCGTTTGCTCAGCTGCGCCTCGGACTTCGTAAATCTATATTGCAATGCAGTCTCGAAAGTTCTGAATTTAAGGTCTAATTTTATTTACTTACAAACACAATATAATTAAAAGCATTACCTGATTCGTAACTAACATGTGAAATCAATGGTCCAAGTCCAAAGCTTTCATTTGACTTGAGTCCTTCAAATGGTACTACTTTTTCATTTTTCATTGACAGCAAGGGTGGTACAACTCCATTGTAGGTTTTCTTGGAATTGTGTCTATAAAATGCCACAGTCAGAACCGCAACCGCAACTGCAACACCCAATTTACAATTGGTTATCTGACTTTTCAAATTTCTATGTAAGCGCTCATTCCTGCTAGTTGATAGGTGCGGCGGAATTTCACTCAGGCATCCATTAGTAATGTGCTTTGTCAATTTTGTACATTCCTTAATAGCTTTTGCTGGTAATACTGCTACTCCTTCTTCATTGCGCACATCAGCCCACTTTTCCACAAAGGCATTCATTTGTTTTTTCATTACATCAGCTTTCGGTGTGGCCAGTTTCCGCTCTTCTCCAATATCCGACTTACAGCGAAAAACTAATCGCATGTCTCTAATACACTCTTTGCGAAGGCTATGGCGTTTGGGTATCTTTCGAGTTATCCTACTTATCGCATGAAATAAGTCCAGAACGACTGTAAAGTTATCACCGAATATACCCTGGAGTTTGTCTCGCCAATGACAGCAGTTATCAATGCATGCACCTTTCAAATGAATTCCACGAGCTATATGTCTCGATCTTAATGCTTGAAGCATGTCTTCGATATAATGAAATGCCTCTGATTTCGTGAGCTTCCACGAAAGAACTTTTCCCTCTTCATTTAGTACACACATCAAAGAGGAAAATTGGGTTGCCCATTTACCATCAGGATTATTTWAACCAATATTTGAAGCGACTTTGAAAGTATGGTCTAATGATATCCATTGATTTGCAGTTTCTTCGGRCATACAGTCTGTAAACAGCCCTTCATTTTCAATGAAATACAAAAGGAAACAGGAAGTGATGAAATCGTTACTAGGATGTTTGGTTTTATCGGGATCAAACTTTTCGAAATTAAAATCGTCAATGGTATGTTCTGGACTTTTTTCCACAAATAGTTTTACGCTGTTCCAAAAAGATTGTTCTCTAATTGAATATGTTTGCCAGAATTGCTCTAAAAGGCTMCTTTCTATTTCATTAAACGTTGAWCCACTCGAAACTCTGGCAATTATGTGTTCAAATAAATCCCTGGTAACTCCACTTTTGTGGAATAGAATGAAAGGCACAATATCGGCACTCTGCAGAGACTGAAGCAATCGCGGATCGTAGCCGCTGTAAGTGTGACCTTGAAGGCAGACATACATTGGAGATACGAGAAGTAGGTTTTCACTTCTACCATAAAGGCTTCTCACAGCTTGGCGCAATTGGAATGGTGATGCTGATAAAGRTTGYTTGCATAATGRACATTTAAATCGTTGCATATGGTCAGGACAAACCAAAGAGGGGTTCCATATAAGTATGGTTGGAAGCACGTATTTATATGTGTATGGCTCGGTACCTGAGACGATATTTKCTGGCAAGAACTATCTYGCTAATATCTTCTTCATGATTATCAAACGGTGTTTTATTTGTCACGGAAGCATTTTGCTGCACATAAGCTTGAGCCATCACCACAATCAAGTAAAGTAAACTAGTAACAATCAAAGTAAAGCTCCTCCACGTAAWGTTCTGTTTCAGCAGCTCGTGTGACTCAAATATTTAAACAACTTCCGCTTGTATCAAAGTGACCCCAGGTCAACTGTCAAGTTGGACAACATGGTGTTAAATATTATTTAAAATTTTGAAAAGAAATCCATACCAACAACAAACACAACAAGACAAAAAACAAATTCTACAAATATACAAGCAGACAAAAATATCAAGGTTGTACTTGTAAGTGTAATTGTTTTAGCAAATCACTTTTTATCAATGATAGGTTATATATTAGAATATTAGGTATATACCTTCTTTGGATTGG